AAAAAAAAAAAAAAAAAAAAAAAAAAAAAAAAAAAAAAAAGGTGCAGATTGGTGCATTTAGGACATCCAAGGAATTGATGTATGAAAAGAAAGAGACATTTTCACTGAAGCTGCCATGGTGAGTACACACTATCAGGGGAGGGTTCACAGCCAACTGGGAACCTCCAACTTTAGGAATGCATTCTTTATCGTTCTTAACTGGCCTTTGTTTACCTGTCCCATCTTCCATGACTACACCAAGCTTCCCACCCCAGCAAGGCCATTCCTAGAACATCATTTGAGTCTCATGACTGATGGGCTACAGTCTTTCTAAGGAGCCTCTTCCCTCCCGGAACCCCGAAGTGGAGGGACTTTCCTCTGCAGAATATCGTTGACTGTGAAGGCTAGAATGCCCTGGCCAATGTCCAGCATGACCATGTTGCCGTGACTGTGTGTGCAGGAGTTGGGGTTGGTGTTTTTGCAAGTCCTTGGGGTGAGGCACGAGCACAAAGGAAGACAGCCTGCCTATAGGGTGGTTACGACCATAGGCAGACCTGTCAGTGGTCTTCCTTGGCTGGGGACACTGGACCAAAGAGGGGCAAAGCACCTTGGGTTCCCAAAGCATACTCGGAGCATTTGAGTTCTTCCTGTGCTTCTGCAGGAACAAAAGAACAGAGTGGACTTGTTGGGGTAATGGGCCTAACATTTATTCTCAGGTGGTGGGGGCTGGGGGTGCAGATGAACTGTCCCTTTTGCCCCCAGAGTCTTTCTGGAGACAGGATCACTGTTCCTTGTGCTCACCAGCCAAGAAAGCAAGTCTCAGAAAGGCCTGGACTCTAGCCCTTCAAACCACACCCATCAGGAAACACTCCAGTGACTATTCAAAGAATCCTGACCAGGGAGACTCACACTCCTTATATTAACTCCAATTGTGCTGCGGGGAGGTGGATAGGACACAAAGCAGGGCAGGGGAGGCCAGGCCTGCGGGGGAGTGTTGGGTGAGGGGCTCCCCAGCATTCACACTCTCCCTCTTTCCCTCCCTCCCCACTCCCTGCAGGCTCTGGGCCAGTCCCACTTCCAAGTTCAGAGGCATCAAGTCCAAGGACAGAATGGCAAGAGTATGGTCACAAAACACCAAACAAATTGGGGGTGGGTTCCTGGGCATCGTGCTCCTTTGGCTGGGCAGTTCCTGGCTTCTCAGTCCCTAAAGCCTGGGCCGTAACCAGTAGGAGGAGCTGGGATCTCAGAGCACCCAGGCCTTTGAAGAACTCCCCCTTCTTCCCAGACTATCTAGGAGACCAGGCATCGGGGAGGGCTTAGGGATGCAAGGGGGAAAGCCCAGGGGAGACCGGAGAGTAGATGGCAGGTTCATGAAAGCAAAGTTATAGCTGCCACTAGTGCCCATGGGAGGAGCAGGTGGTAGAGGGGCATCCAGGGAAAGGTGGGCGACAGGCTGTCCAGCACCAAGCACAGTGCACTTAACTGCACCCTTTGTCGGTTTCCCTGCCCGCCTGCCTCTGGCTCGCTGCAGCTGGGGGACTCAAGATTTGTGCTTGATCAGAGCTTCAAAGGAAGGTGGTAGCAGAGACGCTCCCAGCTCGTCCTGGAGGTGGTGGTTCTGGGATCCTCTGCAAAGTATCCCTAGCCCCGGAGGCCCAGCCCATGCCCTGCCCTCCTCCCCCACCTGTCCCCACCCAAGGTGCATGATCCTCAGACGTGAGTCTGCATCCTCCGCTGCAGAGGTCGACTGGGGTCGGAGTTCTGGGAAGAAGACTGGGAGTGGTGGGAAGAGGAGGCGGAGGCCTTGCTGGCCTTGTCGAACTGCACATAGCCATCCTGCTTGCCACTGCTGCTGACACTGCTATCACACTGTGTGTCCAGGAAGGAACTGCTGTCGCTGAGGGAGCCCCTCTGGAACTCCCGCTCACAGAGCTCGATGGACGAGCTGCCCATGCCCAACACGAACCTCTGCCCGTAGTCGTAGAGGCGGCCCTGGCCGCTTAGGGTGCTGTAGATGTTGGTGAAGGACATGCCTGTGGGCACACGCTGCTTGCCCGTGGGACGCAAATCTGGCTGGCAGCTGGACAGAGAGATGGTGGGAGTTGAGTGGTGCTCTTTGAAGGTGTTGACACTGTAGTAGCCATTGGTAGGGTCCTGGGGGACAGGAATAAGAGCACATTGCTGGTGAGGCTTCCCTGGTCACAGGGCAGGGGGTGACCAGGCGGAACAGAGGGGATGAAGAGGAAAGAAGCAACTGGGGAGGGTGGAGGCCAGAACAGGAAGGGTTAACTAGGCAGTGGGGACACCAGGAGCAGAGCTGGCCCATGTCCAAGTGGCTGCAGGGAGTGTTAGGCACTAAAGGGAGGGAGCTCCTGACTGGGTTTTTTGTTAGGACACCAGAGGTCGGTGGAAAAGCAGGTTTTTGTGTGTGTGTCTTTCCAGAACATAAATAATGAGTTTTAAAGTCTATTTGTGAGGAGGCAGTGGGAAAGGAGAGGGGGAGACTCAGACTTAACTGTCGGCCCTTAGTGTTGGGGTGGGGAGAGTGGGTGGCCTGGGTGGGAAGCGCCCACCTTAGGGAGGGGCTAGGCACCTGTGCCCAGGCTGGCCTCCAGCCTTCTCTTTCTTACTTGCTGTTGTTCTTTGTGTGGCCTGGGCTGGCACAACCAGAGCTAAAGACAAGATTCCATGGTCCCATCTTATAGGCTGTGGTTACTCTCACCTTGAGGTTCTGAAATTCCTTCTCCTCTTCTTTGAGGACCTCCAGCTGCTTCAGTACTGAGTCTTGTTGGAATTCCCCGCGGTCCATCTACAACCCAAAAATGGCTGCTCAGTGGATAGGAAGTGGGCTTAACTAAGCCACTCCCTCCAAGGAAACAATGAGAAATGAACTCGAAAGATCACCATATATGTCCCCACCTCCCTCACCCCTCACTGCCTAAGCCACACAAGGAATGAGATTCCAGATCTTATGGATGTTCCTGGCACCACCATCCTAAAGGACAGAGAGAGGCAGGAAGCGCGCTTGCGTGCGTGCGTGTGTGTATGTGTGTGTGTGTGTGTGTGTGTGTGTGCGCGCGCGCGCGTGTGCACATGTGCTGTGGAGCAGGTCTCACATCTACACTTTCTTTGGTTGGGCAAGGACATCACCAGAGATCTCACTTGATTAATTCATTCAATTCATTGAGCATTTATTGAGAAATTTTGGCCAGGCCCTGTGCTAAGAGCTAGTGACACACAGATTAAAATTTAGGACAGTTCATCAACCAGGGCCAGGTTCAATAATGCTTTCCTTAAGATGAAATCATAGGCTTTCTTAAGAAGGAATAACTACATGTGAGATGCTGGCAGCACGGGTGTCATGGTTTGGATCTGCAATGTCCCTGTGTGTTGAAAGCTTGGCTCCAGCCTGTGGTGCTTTTGGGAGATGGTGGACCCTTTAATGAGTGGGTGGGGCTTCATGGGAGGAAGTTAGGTCCCAGGTTGGGACCTTGAAAGGGATGTGGTACCCTGGCCCCTCTTCATTCTCCTTTTTGCTTCCCGCCATCATGAGGAAAGAAGCCTCATCTGCCACACACTTCCATCATGTTGTTATGAACCACGGACTGAAACCTGCAAAACCACAAGCCAAAATAAATCTTTCTTCCTTTCAAGTTGATTTTCTCACACATTTTGTCACAGTGACCTAACATTGACTAACACAATGGGTCACCTGATATTCACAGCGATGACTCAGCTACACTGGAGTCTTTTTCCCAACAGATGCCAAACAGCCTGAGGGGGAGGATCCCTTCTTGTTCTCCTGGGGTCCCCAGCACACTTGGTCCAGGACCTTGCCTGTGGTTGTCACTGACCAAAAGGCTTTTGGGGTGGGCTCTTTTAATTCTTTGATTCATTAAGTGCCTAGCACAGTGCTTGACTTATGGTAAGGCTGTCGTAAATGTTTATGTTTATGTTGAGAGTGAATGTGATGTTGTGAATGAATTTGTGTAGTGGCTTAGTTCCAAGTCACTGAGAGGAATAATTGCAAGTAAGCTGAAAAACAAAACACAGTGACATATAAATTGTCTCCTATGGTGGGGTGTGGTGGCGCCACCAGGATGTGGTGCCTCCTATAATCCCAGCACTCCAGAGGTGAGGCAGGAAGGTTTCAAGTTCAAGGCCAGCTGGGCTACAGAGCAAGACAATGTCTCAAAAAATACGCCAAAGCAAACAAACAAACAAAAAAACCGCCTCCCATTCTCACTTTTGCTAATTGCAAGGTCTAGGCTAGGTTCCCGCTTTCTGAGCAGGATGTTCCCTCTCCCTTGGAATTTGAGTTCTTGCCTCTTTTAGGAGTCCCATGGAATCCTGCCACGGCTTTATTCATAATACTGCCTTTCATTGTTCAGCGAATGCTCTGGCTTTTGCTGGGTCAGGCAATGAATCTTCTGTTTCTCCTTCTTCTCTTCCTCCACCGTCTTCTTCTTCATCTGTGCTGGAGATTAAACTCAGGACCTTTGCCCTGAGCTATTTCTCCAGGCCCCCTCCTCACCCTTTAAATTTTGAGACAGCATCTCAGTAAACTTCCCAGGCTGGGCTTGGACTTTCAATCCTCCTGCTGCAGCCTCCCAGGGTGCTGGGATTACAGGTGTGGGCCACCACACTCAGCTTGGAGTTGTTTCTCTCCAGATTCAACTATTAGATTTGCCTCTTCTTGATGATGGGGTTGTTTCCAGGGTTACAGGGTAGAGGCAGTGGGGGAATGAAGACCTTCACAGGAGGATGCTAACTACAGAGCCTTCAGTGAGTCCCGTCTGCCAAATTTTCTCCCTCCTCTTGCTGGAATTCTGAGTGACCCCCCACTCTTTCCCCAGAGTGTGGAATTGTCAGAGGTGAGCAGAATGTTCCAAGGCAGAGAGAACTCAAGGGCTCACTCAGGCTGAACTGTAGAGACTTTCTGATGTTTGTAAAGAGATATTCATTCCTCCTTAGGTCTAGGCTGCGGTTTCCCTTGTAAAACTAAACACTGCTATGTCAGACATTAAATTTGGCCCCAGGGAAATAGACAAGCATAGACTCAGGAGCATAACCTTTGCCCCTGAGGAGCTTGGGGTAGCTGGGGAGGCTAACATGTAATTAGGCAATACACTAGGAGAGGGGCACATACAGAGTGTTTCTGGTGGGACAGGAAGTACAAAGCTCCACAGCAGTGTCGGGGTGAGAGGGGCAGCGCAGAAATCATGCAGTCAATAGTGGAGCCGATTCCTAAAGCAGATGAAATCCAACAAGCCGCGAGAACAGCCTGTGCACAGGGTTTTGAGGAGCGAAGAGCTCTGAGACGGGACCTGCAGGCTCTTCGGTGTGTCTGGAAAGCCAGAGTTGCTTGGTGGAAGATGGAGCTGGGAAGGAGGCAGGTGCCTTGCCCGGAGGCCTGGTGACATACTGGGCAGCCGGACTTCATCCAGGAGTCCTGGGAGCCACTGGGGGACTAAGTCGGCCAGTCACGGGCTCCGATTTGCACTTTAGAAGGATCCATTTTGCAGGGCTCTGAAGAGTGGGTTGAGAAAAGTGGCAAATTCGGAGACCAAGTAGGAGGCTGCTGTTGTAGTCCAGGGGAGGTATAATGAAGCCCGAATGAGGGGAATGACGGTGGGTAGGCAGCAGGGACACACATTTGAGACCTTTTTTTGAAGTGGAATTGACAGGCCCTGAAAGTCAATTGCGTAGAGAAAGAGTAGCAGAGGGAAAAGTCAGTTCAATTCAATAAACATTGGAGAGCAGCTGCTGGGTAGGAACGAGGCAGCAGTTGCTCACCATCTAGTGGGTGATTTTAGAGCAACACGAATAGCTAACATTTGCTGAGCACTTAGCCCTCCACGTGCTCGGTTCCACATGTGTGGATTCAGTCAGCCACAAGTCAAAAATATGTGGGAAACACTGCATCTGTATTGAACATGTACCGATTTTTTTCTTGTCAGATGATTTAAAGAATATGGGTGGAGGTGTGCAGGTGGTAGAAAAGCCCTGAGCACGCTCAGATTTTGGTATTATCAGGGCCTCCTGGAACCAACCCCCAAAGATACCCAGGGACAACTGTACCACGTTCCATGACTCCAACCTCTTCAGAGCGTTTCCATTTAACCCTCTATGGCTTCCACACTCATTTGGGAGATGAGGACACTGAGGCTCCGAAAAGTCCATACTTTTTACCCCTGGCTCTGCTGTCACTGTTCTGGAGTGTGCTCCAGAAGCTTCTGGCGTAGTTGTCTTGGCTTCTGCTTGGATGGCTGGGTGGGTTCTCGTCCATCACGGGGGTCAGGAAGGGGATCAGCAGGTTTGGTGTCAGTGGAGTTCTGAACTGGCTTCTGGTGGGCATCCGAGGTTCCAGGGAGGAACTTCCGGTTCTCAGAGACTTCTGTGGTGGGTGGGGTGGAATGCGTGTCTGGGGATAGGATTGCTTGTAGCACATATCAGGGCAATCTGAGCACACGTTCTCTCTCTACTGGATGGTCAGGCTCTCTGAAGGCTGGCACTGCACCTTATACATCTTTGAGTCTCCCAGATCAGCAAGCACAATATTGCAAGCACGTACACGAATGTTTGCGGCTGAGACCGTGCACTTGGCCTGCTGGAGGAGCAGAAGGGGAGTATCTTGACTACTGCTCTGCCTCTGAAATTGCGAGAACTCAGAGAAGGGGACCTTCTGGGAATGGAAAGCATTCTTACCATCAGCTGCTTGATCGTGGAGTGATCTTCAGCTTCCCTGCCAGAGGTGGGCTCCTTGTGGACAATCTCCACTCGGATATCATTTTTGGCTGACACAACACCTTTGAGATCTGGACATAAAATAGAAAAATGTAGGTGGCAAATTTAGTTCTCGACGTCAGGAACAAAGCCTTGAGCTGTCACGTTCCCAAAAGCCACCCCTCACCCCACCACCCCAGGGGTTCACCATCCCTTCAACCCCTGAACGCAGGAGCCCCCCACCCATGGGCCACAGGGATGGATATGCTGTGTGGCCCTCGTCCCACGCACCTCAATGTCCCCTTGATGGAGAGGGTGTCCTCATCCATCTGTCCAGTTTGCTGAGCTAAGTCTTCCCTACCAGGCTCTGATCTCTACATTCACAGACTCACAAATGGAAATGTTGGAAAGGACCTTAGCATCTATGACTACCTTTCGCCTTCAGTGGAAGCACACACAGGACTTTAGCTTCCTGGTATAAGCTAGTACCAGGTACAAGTCCATGGTACAAGCTTGACTCCTACAAGGAGCCAGCCTATTTCTAGCTGAGGAGCCACACTAGAAAATCCTTGCTACAGTATGCTCTCTGATCATTTCCACTGAGTGGCGTGGAAGGAAGGAGGGAGGGCCTGAGGCCTCCGCATTGGAGATGGTTAATGGTGGCCAAAGCTGCTTAGCTGGGAGTGGAGAACATGTGAGAGGAGGGGAACCACAGGCTTCCTTCCAACGTGTGGAGGCTGCCGGGTGGCACACTGGCGGACTTATTCTGCTGTTCACTTTGTTTATTCTGCTTAGAGAGGCTTAGAGCCAGAGGGGTCATAAAAGTTCCCATATCCAACCCCTTAACGTTACAACTAGCCTATAATCAGAGCCCTCTGGGAGGCTGAGGCAGGAGGATTGCAATTTTTAAAAATTGATTTTATTGGTTCAAGAAACCTTTAAATTTGTCAGATGAGGGGTCATAAAAGTTCCCATATCCAACCCCTTAACGTTACAACTAGCCTATAATCAGAGCCCTCTGGGAGGCTGAGGCAGGAGGATTGCAATTTTTAAAAATTGATTTTATTGGTTCAAGAAACATTTAAATATTTCTCAGATGTTTATTTTGCTTTTGTTCCTTGCACTTTTGGTGTCAATCCAGAAATTATTACTAATACCAATGTTGTGGAGCTTTCTTCCCTCCTCCGATTTATTCTAGAAGTTTTATAGTTGTAGCTTGTATGTTTAAAATAATTTTGAATTTTCTATTTATAAAGGAAATAAAATTATTTGAAAAAAATAATTTTATTGGTATACTTTTGACATAGGATTGCAATTTTGGTCAATTCAGTAACTTAATGGGACCCTGTCTCAAAGTGAGAATTAAAAAGGGCTGGGGATGTAGCTCTATGTGAAGGCTCTGGGTTGAGTCACCAGTACCACACACACACACACACACACACACACACACACACACGAAACTGAGGCCTGGAGTAAGTGTGGCTTGCTCGGGGTCGCACAGTGGAAGAGGTGGAACTAGAAGACTGTCCATCTGCTCTCTTTCTCTCTTCTCTGTCTTCCCATCTTCCTCTGTACCTATCTGTCCATCTCATGTAACTTCAGAGCCGAGCCCAGTGCTGAAGTTCTGGTCACGCAAGATACCGCCAGAATGCACAAGTACTACTGTTTACTTGCTATGACGAAGGCCTTTAAAATTTGCTCAGAGCCACTCCTTGAATGTTTTCTGTCCCCTGTGTGGGTGACCTGCTCTTCAGGTTGTACTTGTAGTCTTTGCAGAGAAAAGGGTCAGTCCATCTCCTTTCCCCCGTCCTGATAAGGTCGCCTCTGTTCCCACTGAGAATGCTCTGTGTCTGCTTGAAGCACCCGCTGCCTGTCCTGTTGCGTCATCAGTCAAGCCCAGTTTAGTCTCCACCGAGCCCCTGCCCCACATGTTACACCGTACATCAGACCCAGCCCTGCCCCAGGAGCTCACATCGCTGAGGGCCCCTGTTCATCACACTCCTGCTTACTTGCTCTCCGGGGCAGTCTAAGCCTGGCCTTTTTCTCTGTCCCCCTCCCTGAGATCCCGGGTGTCCCTCCCGTACTTCTCTGGGAACGGGCACAGCAGAAGGCCACAATGGTTGCCATTAGGACGAGGAAGGCCACGCCAGCTCCCACGGCCACCCCGATGATGACGGCCATCGGCACAGACTCTGCGGGAGAGAAGTGGACACAGCTCGTGAGCACCGGCGGAGAGCACCCTGTCCCCCAGATCCTCACTTGCTCATCGAGTGCAGCCTCTGCCATGCAGGCCCCTCTTGGGAAACGTGTTGGTGGGGACCTGGACAGGCACAGGCAGAGTCCGACAGGATCAGCTCTGGCTGCGACTGCAAAGACGGGTGGGGGACGTGGAAGGAGCAGAGAGTGGGGAGGAATGTGGGGAGGGGGCAGAAGCTGGAGAAGACACAAAGAAGGGAGAGCCAGGGGAGAAGAACACTGGGGACGCAGGGTGAGGCTGGTGGAATTTGGTGCCCTGCTGTTAAACAAGGAATCTGTCCCGAAGTGGCTGCTGAGTCACAAGTCCTGCCTCGTCTCTGAGAAGTGTCAGTGGTCACTGTCCTCGCTTGTCCAGTTTATTCCTTCCTTTACTTCCCTCTCCCAGGTGCTTGTGAGATGCCTGTGGACTATCAGCTCTTAGAATTTTTGGTCTGAGACAGCTTCCCCTTGGGGCCTGTGCATAACATGGCCTCAGGGCCAGGCAGGCAGGATCTCAGTTCCCCTGCCCTCATTTCTGAGGAGAAATGCCCTTTTGCCTTGACCTCTGGTCCTGCTCCTTCTCCATCAAGACCAGGCCACAGAGCACCTGGGACTTGTCCCAGCGTGAGGGGACTCAGAACTCTGCAGCCTTCCCTCAGTCCTCATGCTGAGTTTCTGTAGTCTGCCTCCTCCAGGCTGAGTGGGGGTGGGGATGGAGAGGGTAAGGATGTGTGGGGTGCTTTTTCAGACAGCCCTGGTCCTTTTATGGCTGTATAGGGGGCCTGAGCACAAAATTTGGGGTCCTGAATCAAGCCCCTCATTTTTTTTTTTTTTTTTTTTTTTTTTTTTTTGGTATCAGGGATTGAACTCTGGTCCTTGCGCTTGCAAGGAAGGCCACCTAACTGCTGAGCTAAATCCCTGGCCCCAAGCCCCTCATTTTTATAGACAGAGATACTGAGGTCCAGCGAAGTCAAGTGACTGGGTCAAGGACACACAGCTGCCTGTAATCCTAGCACTCTGGGAGGCTGAGGCAGGAGGATTACAAGTTTGAGACCAGCTTGGGCAGACTAGTGAGACCCTGTTGAAAGAAAGGAGAGAGAGAGAGAGAGAGAGAGAGAGAGAGAGAGAGAGAGAGAAATTGGAGATGTAGCTAAGATGTAGCTAAGTGTGAAGGTCCCAGGCTCAATCCCCAGCACTGGAGGACAAAGAAAAGGCACACAACTGCGGGGGAGCCAGGGTAACTCCAGGTCTTCTCTCGCTTCCCCCCACCCGGCCTGCAGCATCCGCTGTACCATATGGCACCCTCCAAACCACACAAGCATTTGTCAGCCCAGAATGTTGGTTGTCCGATTCCTGGCTCTCACTTCTTCCTCTCTTATCTGGAAAGGAGGAGTAATAACAGTGCTAACCTCCTAAGGTTGTTACAGGGTTTAGATGACGTGGATAAGGACCTTGGAAGGGAGCCTTGTAGCAGGCCTGTTCATGTATTTGCTCCTGTTATTGTACAAGAAGGGGGAAATGTGGAGGGGGAAGTTCCTTTGAAGGCCTGAACTTGCTCCCCACCCAACCCACATTCATGCTGTGGGACAACCAGGCACTTGCTCTGGTGCTGCGGTTAGTCTGTCGTGATTGCTATTTTCTTTAAATTGCAGAAGAGAGGGGAAAACCCTGAAATCCTGGCTCCTGAGGAGCTGCTGGGAGGAGGCGTAGGGAGGTTGGGGGCACTGAACGGAGCTGGTGCTTCTCAGCTGACAGCATTTAGTTAATGCCGCTCCTTCCCTGTGCCACCCCAGGGCTCGCACACTAAGCCTTTTGTTGCCTACCTCTTGGTAGCCACTGCAGAGGTGACTGAGGAGGTGACCAAGAGGAGGCAGGAAGGGCAAACACTCAAGATTGTGATGGGAGGTGTTTGGGCTGCTCTCAGCCATCAGGATGGAAAGGAGCGACATGACTTCAGGGGAGCTTGCTTTGGCAAACATGCATCTGTCTGTAGTTCTGGCTTTCTCCGGGGAAGGGAAGCTGCTTTGGGAGCTATCCTTTTGGATTTTATTAACTTGGGTTTGATTTAGTTTCCTCTTGGATTCCTGATAAGTTTCCTTGGAAAAACTCAACGCTTGTCTCAGCCGAATTTGGAGCCAAAGCGTGATCTTCCTGAATGTTCCCAGGCTGCACATTCTCAGAGGTGGGACAGCAGTATCTGAGGTCCCTTCTGACTGGCACCCTGTTGGTCCATGTTTCCTTGAGTCTTGAGCAGTGGGGTCTGATGCACGATCAGGCTGGAGAACAGTCCCCAAGCGGGTGGGCAGGGACAGAGGAAGAGGGTACCCGCCGGGGCACATGGCATCCCTTACAAGTTCCCAGGGTGACTCTGGCCCAGCCTCTGGAGGTCTGTCCTTGGCTGCTCCTATGTGGACACAGCACCCCCAGGATGTGTCCCAATTAGGAAGTGGGGAGAGGGCTGCCCTGGCCTAGCCAAGAAGCGGGCTAGGCATGAGGAGTCTCAGGTACCAAGGGAGGAAGGAGTCAGGGAGTGCTGGCCGGTGTGAACAGACACATAAATGGGGGTGGAGGAACCTACCACGCTGTGCACCAGGGTGGCCTGAGGGGCTGATCCAGGCTGCCTTTCTGAGCTGGCTGTGGCCTGGATTGGTGCTCTGAGAGTGGCACATCTGCTCAGAGAGTCAGGCATGTGGGCTCCCCTTGGAGCTCCTTAAAGGGGGGCATGTGGGCCAGGGTCCAGCCTGGTACTGGACAGAGGGCCTCCAAGTCTTTGGCAGGGGCTTGGTGGGCTCCATAGTCTTATTTCCATGTCCTAATTTTCTCTTCTGGTTTTCTGCTTGGGGTGGGAACGGGAGGTCCCCTGGCAGCACGTGTGGGTGGGCACTGCCCAGCCAGCTTGGCCTTGGGGGGAGAAGGTGAGGGGGAGGGAGGTGGTGAGGAGTGGCAAGCATGGAGTAGACAGGCACAGCGAGGCCAGGGGGTGGCACCAGTGTCTGGGAAGCAATGCAGAGCTGGTGATGATGCCAAGGAGCAGAAGAGGTAGGGAGAGGCTGGAAGTAGAGAGGCTAGGGTGGGGCAGGAAGCAGGGCTTCTGTGGAGAAGGATGGGAAGGAGTGGAGAGGGGCAGGAGCAAGAGCCAGTGTCCTGGGGAAAAAGGTGCCCTGGGCAGGGGCAGCAGCAGAAGATAGGTCTCTGGGGTCCCCAGGCCCTGGCTGGCTGGAGGCTCCTCCCTTGCTTCACTGCACTAAACCTGGACCTGGGGGTGGACAGGGAAATTAGTGGCCTATGCAGGCTCTCTACCCTGGGTGGGGCCCCCTCCCCAACTAGCCAGGAAGTCCCTCCCCGCTCCCAGGGCGATTCTCATGGTCTCCTTTCGTACCTGCTTCCAGCCCGGCTCCCGACTTCATTTCCGAACCTGTTTGGAAATAAAGCAAGCGTCCACAGCCAGGGCCTGGCTGGCCAGGGTGGGGTGGGATGGGGATCGGCCATCTGGAGGGGTTGGGGACAGTCCATCCTGGCTTTGAAACTGCCCCACAGACCCAGGCTTGCCCAGCGGAATCTGGGGTTTATTCAGACTGACTAGTAGACTCCAGAGCAGGTGGGGATAGATGGAAGTCAAGTCTGGGAGGAAGTAGGGTGGGGGTGAAGGCCAAGGGGAGGGCGCAGGGTGGGGGCACTGAGGGAAGACAGGAGGGTAAGCAGCAGGGTCCAGGAGGGCTTGGATGAGGTGTGAATGATGTTACGGAAATTATGTGCAAAGCGTTATGCAAAGCGGCTCCTATTAGGGAAGAGTTTTAGGAGACCTGGGAGCTCGGACCCATTGGTGTGATCACCCTCCGGTGTGAGGCACTGAGGCTTCAGGGGCTCGCCTTGGAACACCTGCATGGCCTGGAATCTGGCTCAAGGATCAGGCCTGATTGAGCCCTATCCCTGGCCCTCTGTGGCTGAGTGCTGGCTGGCCAAGGGGCAGTATCTGCAGCCCATCTCCCGGCCTCAGGTGCTGCAGGATGCCCACAGAGCTTCTCTGGAACCATCTCTCAGTGCCCCTCAGAAGCTCCCCACCCCCGCAGTCTGTCCAGAGAGCTCTGAGCAGACACTGGGTTTCTCAGCGTCTGTATGACTAGGAGCTGAGGCAGACAGCATGCTTGGTCGCATTACAGTGAGCCTTCCTCATCCTCTCTCAAATCTGGCTGCTCCGTGCCCTTCTGCCAGAAACTGCTCTTCTGCTGGATGTCTCCTTAGAGCTCAGTGGTCTGCTGTCTACTGGGGACTGCAGATCCTGGGCCCAGCCACTCTGATTCCACAGGGACTGGTGAGCACCCATTCTGAGCTTTAGCTTGGGCGCCCTCTACAGGACCTGTGTGTAACTGGACTGGTTTATCTTTCTGGGGCTTGGCCCTGGGCTCCAACACATCCATGCCAGTGTGTTTCCATGCTCAACCTAGTTGTGACACTCACTGAGGGTACTCAGGTACCACCCCAGGGTGGACTGCATGGAAGCCAGGGCCTTCTGAAGTGGTCAGGCAGCTTATCAAGGTGATCACCTGGCTCACTCTTGTCACCTCCCCCTGGAACACTGCTGTGGGGCACAGTGGGGTGCGGTCTCTCTCCTTTCTGCTTCCTGGTGGAGCCTAGTGCCCCTTGCCTCAGGGGGAGCCAGAGTGAGGCCATGTGGCCCCTAGGGAAGAGCACTGTGCTAGTCCTGGGACCTCCCCCACGCCCCTGGCCCTGGCGGCCCTGACCTTGCTCCTTGAGCCGGATGATCTCCGTGTCAGAACCAAAGCTATTCCAAGCTGTGCAGTTGTAAATGGTCTGGAAGTCAGCCCTCACGATGCTGCTGATGGTCAGTGTGGAGATGACGCCCTCCTCTGTGCTGACTGTCTCCACTGTGTAGCGCCCTGATGTCCCCGACTCCAGCACGTTCTCCTTCCAGGACCAGGCCTGCGGGGTGCACGAAGTTAGGAGCAGAAGCCACTGGAGCCGCTTCCCGGGACCAAGAGCCATCTTCCTGGCCCTGGTGCAAACACAGATAGGGACTTGGCTCCCCTCACACATACTACAAGCATAAACACACATGTGCAAGGACATCACACATAAACACATCTATCTTTGTTTGCAAAGTGACTGCACAATTATTTTTTCAGTACTAGGGACTGAACCTAGGGCCTCAGACATGCTAGGCAAGTGCTCTACCACTGAGCTACAGTCCCAGCACTTTTTATTTTCAGGCAGGGTCTAAGTTGCCCAGGCTGGCCTTGATCTTGTGATACTTCTGAGTGGCTGGGATCACAGGTACGTGCAGCCACACTTGATTCATTTTTCAGTCATTCCTTGAACACCGCATGCGTGTTATGTGTCAGCCCCTTGGACATCCCAGAATGTGACAAGGCAGGTCTGAGCCTGGAGGCATGAGGTGAGCATGGAGCAGGGCTCTGGACCAGCTCCTTCCGGATGTGGGCTGCCCAAGGCTGTTCACGGCACTCCTGGTTTCTACATACCAGATGCCAGCAGCACCCTGCAAGCTGTGACACCAGCAGGTTCTCTGCCCAACGTTCCCTGGGGACAAAACTGCTCCACTTGAAAACACTACCTTAGGCTTAGCTATCTATGAGAGAAACACGGTATGAAAATGCTCATGAGTGAATGGAATATTTTATAATGGGCACGTGTTACATTCATAATTTTAAAAATTAGAATGAACTGCACGGGGAGGTGTAGGTATTAGTTGTGTGTGCGATTACTGCCAATTCTGTGAATCTGTCAGTGAATGAAGCAGTTGCCGAGAACATGTGTAGCAGCCACAGCGCCACCTTAGTTTACTAGGACAGCAGTGCCCAAGTGTGGTCCGCCATCTTGCTGCCCAGTGCTGGCCCGCCTTACCCTCAGGGCATTGCTGCCTTGCAAAATCTGCCCTGCAGAGTTTACCCCTGGAAACTTGGACTTACTATTCTTGAGACTGCTACAAAACATTCACTTTTCTTTGTTTTCATGCTGAGATTCCTACAGCTTCAGATGGATTTTAGTGCAAGACCCTCCAGCATGAACTCTACTGTGTGCAGGGAGGGGCCGGAGTTTGGAAGCCGGGAAGAGGGATGGGGCGGTCATCTCTGAGGGGAGCCTGTATGGTAAAAGGTGGCCCCCAGACTTAGGAGGGCAGTGGGAGGTACAGGGAGGGGTTGCCAGCTCTGAACAGCATATGCTTTACAATTTTACCAGGCTGATCTTGAGCCCAGGAAAGGGAAGAAATTGTTTGTCTTTTCCCTCTTGCTTGCTCTCTGGCTCGAGGATGCAGAATTCACTTAAAACCATTAATATGGTAGATCTGTTCCCAGAAAGAAGGCTGGCTGTGATTCTGGCTTCAGGATGTGTTTTTTTCAGGATGTGTTCTTAAGAGACCGGGCTGGTCTCTTTTCTCAGTGGAGGGAAAGGAGGCTCAGAGATGTGTGCCCACTGGCTGGCTGCCCAGCTGCCTGGGTATTGGCAGATGTGACCCTGGCACTGCCCCCCAAGCCCCAGCACTCACAATGCGGTCGGGAGGTGGTGTGCTCCGGATGAAGCATTTGATCTGGCCTTTTTCACCATGGAGGGCGTGCTGGGTCTGAGTGCTGGAGATGATGGGAGGCCCTGTTGGAGAGGCAGGGTCACATTAGCGATCCAGGGAAGGCAAGTTCCCAGTGGGCCGGCCCCCACTGGGGTGGGCTCAGAAGCATGACTGCTTTGATCCAAGCACTTGGCAAATATTTACTGAAGTCCTGTATGTGTGGGTTAGAGTACGAGGTAGGGGACTTGAAGATAAATTAGGCATTCAGTGGTAAAGCTCTCAGGGGATCATGAGTGAATGCATCTGAGTCAGAATCCCCCGAAGACATAAATAACTGTAATAAAAGGTGGTTCATACCGTAGAAGCTGTGCAGATAAAGTGCTAACCGACTTCAGAGGAGAGAGAATAATTCTATCTGGCGGACAGAGAGAGCTTTACGAAGGAGGTGGTGAGTCTGGGAAGGAGCAGGGGTAGGTGTCAGGATGATGGAAGACAGACCTAAAGAATGTCACCCTGCTGTGGCCAGGGGTTGGCTTCCTGGCCTTTCTCAAATGTCCAGTAGAGGGCGCCCCTGTCTAACAAACTGGGTGTCCTCTGCCGGGCCAACGAGGGAGGAAGAAAAAACGGTGTCGCTTTGCTACCAAGGGCGAGAATCACCCTGGATAGGTGTAGTGTGAGGGCCACGTTCACAGCCTCAATCCCACACAGGTCTCAAGAGAGCCTGTAATTCATTGTGTCTTCTGTTGTTACATATATATGCTGACGCCCTGGGTGAGATGGCAGCTCCCAAACTGGCCTTAATATTAGATATTATTCCATCCAGTTTGTGTATGTACGTGTGGTGGGGGCAGGCTTGGGGGACAGGTGTCTACCTCATTTACCACAGGGGGCAGCCTGTTCCATAGCATTTCCGGTAAGTTCTGCCCATCATATAACCCAAGTCTGTCCTTTGGACATCTTCCTGGCGGTGACGGGGAAGCAGCTAGTGTAGTCATTTGCTCAGCTAACTTCCTGGCTACAGTGGGTAGTGTAGGGCTGGAATTCCTTCTCCCTTTCTGCACCCCTGGTGTGATGGTTGGGACTTAGCAGAGCACAGAGGAAGGAAAGCTAAGACCAACAGACCTGGAGAACAGGCAAAATTATGCTGTGAACAAAACAAAAATTGCTGCAAACCTAATTGCTGTTTATTAGTCACCTTAATTAAAACAGATTTGCATTTCTATGAGTAGCTTCAGCCAAGGGGAAACAGGTATTTAGCAAGGAGGATGAAGCTTCATGGAGTTTAGGATGCAAATGTCTCAGGGCTGGGGCTGCAGACTTGGGGGAACCTCAAGGTCAGGGCTTCTACCCTCAGATGACTAAGAGGGGCTGAGCCCTGCTTTCCTCCTTTGAATCCAAACTCTGCGAGGCCTTTGCCAAAGAGACGAGGGCTCCTTGTGTTGAGAACCTGAGTGGTGCTTTGTTTTGCTGCTGGGCTAAAAAGTGATGCTATATGCCTGGAACTGGGAATTCCCAAATGTTCCCAGGATTCTAAAGCGATCAGCAAATGCATATGCGTTTACGGGCTTAAAAGGAAACAAAAAGCAGCATAAAGGGAAGTGGGGTTGGGGAGTCAATCAGCCAGTGGCAGTTCATCTTCCCCTTCCTGTAGATACCAGATTTGAGGCAGCTCCGTTGAGATCTGTGCCAATTCGTTCCCTAAAAGGCCCGGCTGGCAGGTGTCCGCAGGCAGCCACTGGCTGTGATGAGCGGCTCATTCCAGCCACTTTCACACCATCAGATCCCCTTGGTCCAGGCCAGGCTCTGCCTCCAGCTTCATCTCCGCTCTACCTGTTCTCAGGCTGGGGGCTGGCAGTCTCCTCTCCCTGGGCAGCTCTGCTGGAAGGGCTGGATGTCAAACTTAAACCGTGGGACAACCCACGTCATTTTGCTGAGGCCAGTCCAAGAGAAGTGTCCTCCAAGGCGTGCATTCCACAGGGCAGTGGTGATGGGGAGGCCTTCTCCACTCAAGAAACCTCTTTAAATATCCACTCGGAAATGCCTGAATGTCTAGAACTGGCAGCAAAATGTCAGAGCTTCCTTATCTACCTTTGCTACCAAGTGTGCTCAGTTAATAGCTTCACTGGGGACACTGGAGGGCACATATGAGTCTGAGGGTCCCAGCTGTGGACTGAAGATGGCAGCCAGGCTCCCCAGTGTCTGCTCCAGAGCAGCCGCCAGGAGGGCGAGGATTTCACCGTGGCCTGGTGCCTGGAGCCCAGTGTCAGACACCGGCTCGGCAGGAAAAGGCTGCAGCCTGTGTTGCCATGGATATATGGAGGCGCGATCAGATGCTGTTATTTTTAGCCCTGCAGTGCCAATTTATTGGCGGCATCCTGGGGACACGCAGGAAAGGCAGGAAGGCTCCTGAGTAGGGATTCTGCCCAAGACAGGTGGCCTGCAAAAGCTCCGCAGTCTGGGTAGATTCACCCTCCCTCTGGGGCTACCACACCTCTGGGAGAAGGGAGGAGAGGATTGGGTGGGGAGGGGAAGCTGGTAACAGGGACAGCAGAGGGGGTGCTGGGGAGGCACCGAGCTGGGCTTAGTTTTCAAGCGAATGGGAAAATAGACAAGGCTGTCAGTGGGTTGAAACGAAGCTAAGGGATGGCTCATTTCCAGAACACAGCTACCCCCACCCCACTCCCAGTCCCTGCTCCGGGGCTTGGACCTGGAGGCTCCTCCCACGTGAGTCTGTGGCTCAGGGCTTTGGTCTGAGGGACTATGGTGGGCACAGGGGCTTCCCAGAGGGCACAAGAGTGGCAGGGGTGAAGCCCCTGGAAGAGGGCCCTAGCTCTTCCACCCTCTCAAATGGGTGGCTTTGGTTTCCGACCACAGCCCAAGCACTCGTCACAAGACATGCTGTCCTAACGCTGCAGCCTTCTCAGGTCTGGCCTGAACTCAGTCCCAGTATCTCTGGGCCATCTGCTTCCAACATCTGGGCCTGGCCTGATGCCTGCACCTCCATGTGGCCCACAGTGGCCATTGGTCAGCCCTTACTATGAAAGCACTGGGTTGTGTCACTGTGTACAAGGAGGGACCTTGAACATTGCTCTTTGGATACTGACAGGTCCCCCTGGCAGAGCAGCTCTAACTCAATGGGAAGCAGCTACAAGAAGAGGGAGATGGCCCTTAACCTTTTCTGGGGCAAGGTCAGGGTGGGTAAATAGGATAGATAGGGGCATGGTCACCTGTGACCTCTTTCCCTTCTTTCCTGGCCGGGATAAACTCATCAGCTACCACTCTTAGGGCTGAGACCCTCTCCCCTTTTTTGAGGCAGGGACTTGCTATGTAGTTCAGGCTGGCCTTGAACTCGTGGTAATGCTGCCTCAGCCTCCTGAGTGTGAGGATTGCAGGGGTACACCGCCATGCCTGGTTGGGCTGAAACCCTTTGAAGGTAACAAAAAGGAGGCAAGGGACCAGAAGACTACCCAAGCTCTTCCTGTTTCTGGCCTGGGCTCTGACAGGGACTCTAAATAGATGGATGCAACTGCTCTGGACCCCTGGTTAGAGGTGGTAGCAAGGTCCAGAACTGGTGACAACTCCTTGGGTCTTTCTCTCCTCCCTTCCACCCAGCCCACCCCAGTGAGGGTCTTACCATTGACAGTCAGGGTCACCTCTCTCTCCCCAGCTCCCACCCGGGGGACCACAGCTCGGCACACATACTTCCCAGCATCCTCCTGGCGGACAGATTTGAGGGTCAGGGTCTTTTCATTGCTCAGGACCTAGGAGAATAGGGAGGATCAGACATGGAGCCATCAGATGGCTGGACACAGGCCTAGCAGTGCCTACATCCAGGGAGCCTGCTGGGGACTCCTGGCTTCTGCAGACAGAGAGGTGCTGCTGTCCCCACTCCGCCTTCTGTAGCTCCTCTCCCAGCCTAGCCATGGCTGAAACTACCCTGTAGCTGAACTTGGAGGGACCTGAACCTGTGTTTTCTGAGTCATTTTCAGGATCCCTTTGGGATATAGCTTGGGATGATGACCAGAGCGCCTTGGTGCTGCCTGGATCTGCCTCTGAGTCCCGGCTCCGGCAGTGAAGAGCATAAGGCCTTGGTCAGCTCGGAGGCTGGGCTTCCTTATCCATTGAAGGAGGGTGGCAGCTCTCAGGGCAGTGTGACGTTCGGCAGCTGACTTCCTTCTGCCTCCACTGCTTCCTTCCTGGCCTCACTGCTCCTCCCTATTGCAGGGACACCTGGCAAACTCCAGAGCACTAAAGAATATGTCCATTTCAAAAGAGAAATGCAGGGAAAGAGCAACACGTAATGCCAGGTAAGGCTGAGTTTATTTGTGGGAGATTTTTTTTTTTTTTTT